AAAAAAAAAAAAGAAAGAAATGATGACAGGATATTGAAGACAGAGCTGCACTCCCATGCCCCCTGTTGCATTATTCACAATAGCCAAAACACGGAAACAGCTTGTGTGTCAACAGATGAATGATCAAGAAGATGTGGTATATAGGTATGGAATATTAGTCACCCATGAAAAAGAAGGGAATCTTGCCATTCACTGCAACATGGCTGGGCCTTGAGGGCATAACACTAAGTGAAATAAGCCACACAGAAAAACAAATACTGAATGACATCACACACTCATGGAACCTTTAAAGAAAGTGAGACTCATAGAAACAGTAGAAAAGCAGTCGCCAGGGGCTAGGGGGTGGGGGAAATAGAGAGTTTGGTAAAATGGTACAAACTTCCAGGTACCTGATGTATAAGGTCTGAGGATGTGATGTATAACATGGTGACTACAGTTGATAATACTGTATTGTATAGTCAAAATTTGCTTAAAGAATGAATGCAGGAGGGACACCTGGGTGGCTCAGTCGGTTGAGCATCTGACTTCATATCAGGTCATGATCTCATGGCTCATGAGCATGAGCCCCACATCGGGCTCTGTGCTGACAGCGTGGAGCCTGGAGCCTGCTTCGGATTCCATGTCTCCCTCTCTCTCTGCCCCTTCCCCATCTCACACTCTGTCTCTCTCAAAAAAATAAACATTAAAAATTTTTTTTTAAAAATAATGAATGAATGAATTGCCCAGTATACTGCCTGGGCCCTCAGGGACACTCAGTAAAAGCAAGTCGTCCCCTTCTCTCCCTGTTTGCCAGACTGAGGTTAAGCTGGAGAAGGCTTTGATCTTCCTAACATGAGCTAATCTAATCTAAGACTAGAAATCTCCCAGGGACAAGAATAGTGTTCTAATCAACATTGTTTCTCTGGCGGCGACTATAAGCATGGTACGATGGGGGAATAATACACTCTGGGGCGATTACGGAGGGCATGACATAGTCTCCCGGTCTTAGCTGCTCACCCATGCCCAGGAGAGAGAGCATGCATGAAGGTCAAAAACAGCAATAACCATAACCACAGAGGAAGGAGCAAAGAGCTAACAAACAGCAGAGACAATGAGGGGCACTGGGGTGCTGGGGAGGGAGGGACCCTAACTGCTTGGTTTTATCTGGAAAGGTTTTAGGCTTTCTACTCCAGACGGTGACCTTGAGTTGCCAGAATGCACCATGTTTTCTCACCTCTACACTCTTGCATGTGGCTGCTCCACTCCATCTGGGGTGCTCTCACCCTCTTGTCTTCCTTCTGAGCTTCTGCTCATCCTTGAGATTGAGCTCACTGTGACCCACTCTGGGAAAGCTTTCTTGAGCCCTCTGACCAGAGGTAAGCACTTCCTCTTGAAGTAACCCCTCACTGCTCTATGGGAGGGTATAATTATCTACACACACAGGTGCGTGTACCAACTATATGCAGAGTGCTCTACTAAGCTCTGGGGAGACTGTCGGGCTGCTCTTAAAGAACTTAACCAGAATACCCTAGTTATGGGGAAAGAATTCCTTTTTAGCCAGAAGAAAATTACATTAGGTCGAACCACATGAAACCACCATTTCAGCATATCAAAATGGCGGGATGTCGGTAATTCCTTACGGAACCACATGACGATTAACCATGCAGATTTGTCCAGAGCATTTCCAGTTTGCAGAATGATTTCCCCACTCGTGATCTCATGCAGTCCTCACGCTCTCTCTGGGCTTCAGAGCACTTTCGTTGTCATTTTGCAGATGAGTAAACTGAAGCCCAGAGAGAGATTGGATGCCCCAAGGCTCTTGGAGAGAGTCCGAGGCCAAGACAGGACATGGGCCCACGTTGTCTGCACCCACATGAGATGCTGATGTGTATTATTCAGTGTTAAACAGCCACTCGTGCTGGAGAGAAGGGGAGGTGCAGGAGGAGGGAACCCAAAACACACAGCCGGTATCACATAATCCAGACTGTGCAAGGATGGGACCTCATCAATCACTCATCCAGCCAGTATTTATTGAGCAACTACTAGGTGGGACACACTGAGCTAGACAATGAGGGAATGGAAGTGAACGGGAAAACCGGGTCCTGTCCTCTCAATGTTTATATTCTGGTGGGGATGACAGCCACAGCAAGGAAATAAATTAACCGGATGCTCTCAGAGAGTGATGACTCCTATGGAGCAAACAAATCAGGGCCATGTAAGGAGGAGGAGGGGTGGGTGAGTAGATGAGGTCCTAGAGAAGATGGGCAGAGAAGGCCGTAGGCCTGTGCTCTGTGTTAAGAAGACGGGGCCCAAGCACGGTTCTGGGGGAAGAACATTCCAGAGAGATAGACAAGTGCAAAGACCTTGAGGTTGGAATGAGTTTAGTGTGTCCAAGGTCAGAGACAAGGTCAGTGCGGCTGCAGCAGGTAAGAGGAGGACGCAGTGTGAGATAAGGTCTCTGCTTGCATGAAAGAAGCCAGAGAACATTTCCTGGGGAAAGCAAGCTTTTGGCCAGACTGTGAGGGATGAGTGGGGTTTGGAGCAGGCAAAGGCAGAGAGGACTCTACCATGAACGTGGCCTCGGATTCTCCAGGTTGGATGTGGCTGAGCCAACAAATCCGCCAAGACAGTAACCGTCACCATCCAGGGTTTATTGGCAAATAACCTTCACAAGTTTAGATCGAAGAAGAGACACTTCCCAGGGCACACTTAATCCCGGCCTTCCTCTTCAAACATTTAATTGGCTACTGATACAAAAGGAGTCAAATCTGTGGCACTTCCGAGTCTCGACTCAAGGACCTGGACCGATGGATACAAGCCTCAGAAGAACCGATTGGGGGGCAATGGGCAGAGTAACAAATAAGCAAAGCTGAACCCCCCCCCCAAAAAAAAAACTGGCTTATGCAAGAAGTAGTGAGAGTCCCAGCCCTGAAGGCATGTAAGCCAGGGCAAGCTGAGCACTTAGCAGGGATGTGGAGGGAGCTAAGGATCAGGAGAGATCCAAAGGATCACTTTGCACAGGGAAGCCCCACAT